GGAGTGAGGTGGGGATCTTGTTTAATTCTTCTGCAGATAGTTTTCCAATTTTGCCAACACCATTTGTTAAAAAGGCTGTCATTTCCCCACCTAACTGATTTCATCCCTTTGTCAAAAATCAATTGCCCATAAATAGATGGGCTGATTTCCGGGTTCTCAATTCTATTCCATTGATCTGTGTGTCTGTCATTGTACCAGTACCACACTGTCTTGACTACCACGGCAGTGTAGTAGGATTTTAAGTCAGGGAGTGAGATGCCTCCTACCTGCTTTGCTTATTCGTGGCTTCTTTCCATTCCAAATGAAGCTATTGTCCAGCTTTCTAATGTATAGCAAGCAATTGCAAAGACTTTGGCCTGGATCAGGCACACCTAAGTCTCCAGACTGACTTAGTTGCTCTTCAGTACTTTGGAGAGGTCCCTGACAGCAGACTCTCCCAGTGCAATTTATCTTTTAATTTCCTGGCTGCTGGTACCAAGAATGTTGTCTGTAGAGCCAAGCAAGCTAAAGCTATTAACAGTCTCAATCTCTTCACCATCTGTCATAATGCTGCCAGTCTGCATAGTGGTGAGAATCTTTGTTTTTTCAATATTGAGCTTCAGTGTGTATTGAAAGCTACAATCCTGACCTTCTGCAGCAAGAGCTTCAGATCCTCCTCAGTTTCAGCAAGCAGGGTTGTTTCATCTGCATAATGCAGGTTGCTGATAAATCTTCCTCCAATCCTGATGCCACATTTCTCCTCATAGAGCCAGCCTCCCAGATAATCTGTTCTGCATATAGATTGAAAAGGTATGGCGATAGGACATATCCCCTTCTGATTTTGAACAATGCAGTGTTTTCTTGCTCTTTTCTGAAAACTGCCTCCTGGTCCAAATATAGGTTTCACATAGCAAAATCAAGTATTCTAGATTTCCCATTTTTCTTAGAGTTAGCCACAGTTTGTTGTGATCCACACAGTCAAATGCCTCTGCATGGTCAGTGAAACAAAGATAAACATTTCTCTGATACTCCCTGCTTTAAGCTAAGATCCGTATAATATTCCTAGTACCATGGCCTCTTCTAAACCCAGCCTGCACTTAAGACAGTTCTCTGTTGATGTGCTATTCCAGTAATTTTTGGATAGTCTTCCACAGAATCTTGCTTGAATGTCATATCAATTCTTCTTCCGTCATCCTTAATTCATTATCCAGCTCTTAGATACATAGCAAGTGATTGGAAAGACCATGGCCTGAATCAGACAAATTTTAGTCCTCAAACTGATAATATTGTTCTTCAGTAATTTGGAGAGGTCTCTGACAGCAGACTTTTACAGTGCAATACATCTGCTGATCTCCGGATTGCTTGTACCAAGGATATTGATTGTGGATCTGAAGAGGTTGTTGACAATTTTCAGTCTTTTCTCTATTTCTCCATCTGTAATGAATGATGTTGCCTATTCATCCAGTGGTGAGAACTTTTGTTTTCTTGATGTATAGATTTAATCCATTTATCTATATTCTTTGATTTTCTGCAGCAAGTGCTTCAAGGCTTCCTTATTTTTTCAGCAAGTGTCATCTGAATATATCAGGTTATTGATAAATCTTTCTCTGATCCTGATACTACATTCTTCTTCTTAATAGTCCAGCTTCTAAAATAATAAGAGTCCAGCTTCTCAAATACTTGCTCAGCATACAGATTGAATAGGTGTAGTGAAAGAATAAACTTTTCCTGATTTTGAACCATGTTATGTTCCTTTGCTCTGTTCAGACATTTGTTAACATTAAACAGTAAACCTTTAATATCATGGCAAGAAATGGAGAAAGTTGGTGCACACGTCCTTGATGTAACTTTTAATCTGTGTTAAGAATAGCTATTGCTGTTGGAGCAGAAATATTCATGTATTCTCTCTGGTCTCTCTCTTCTTTGTTGTTGTTGTTGTT